CTGTCTTGTAGTTGTCTTGACTTCCCTACCATCTAGAAGTTCTGTAACAACAGATTTTTTTTCCCTCTTTTTGGTTTGTAGTTGTCCTCATTTGTTGGTTGGTGTCTTTGGTTTCCTGTTTACAATCTTGTAGGCTTATTTATTTTGGATACTTTCACAGCTGGGTTGGTTTCTGGGTTATATCATCATGTGTGTTAATGGTCAGTTGTTGTTGGCTGTTGTAATCAACATAATTTTTATAGAGTATGTTGTTGTTATGTGCTGTCGAGTCAGCCCCGACTCATAGCGACCCCTCCTTAGGTTTCCGAGGCAGTATCACTACGGAAGTATAGTGCTGCTGATATTATAAAGAGACTCCAGAAAGAAGAAGGTGGAGTGGGAATGGAAATTTCACAATTAATGAGTATTGCCTTTATACAGACTGAGACTAGGCACAAGAAAGAAAAGAAGTGAAGAAAATGAAAGCATAGGCATCACTATCAACAGTGGCCCTTGGTCAAAGTGAGAAAAGGGGGCCACCCATGAGAAACCATCCCAGACTGAGGAAAATCCAGTGTGCTTGGTGCAAGCAAATTGCGCACTGGAAGAGAGAAGCTGCTAAAGGGGCAGGGAGGCAGCATCTTTTGAACTCCTCTAAATACACAAGAGGAAAACAGAATCACCATCAGCAGTCCAAAGCCTGTTCCTATGAGGCCAGACATACTGCCATCCTCCAGCCCTCTTACCATCCTTGAGACCAACCATCTCTCCTACAGCACTCACTACCTCTCTTAGATCCACCACACCTGCATCAAGAAATCCCCACCTATTGAAAATGAAGGAGGTCAAGGAGATTGAAAAATGGAAAACCTCCAATTTCTCTTTAAATGACAGGACCCTGATTAAGGTTTCTCTATTATTTTTTTTTTTAACTTGTTATTTATGTCTTTAAGGGAATGTGGCTGGGAATTTAATGCCCTGATCCAACTTCAGCAAACCTTGCTGAATCAAACCCAATGGGCCAACAACTGCTGGGTATGTTCTCACTCTCCTTCACACAGTTGTCCAGGGTCTACCCATCATTCCTGTCCTACTTCATCAAGAATACTGGACTAAGGAAGAGAGGGCGCTTATTTAACACCAACAAGAGCATGGACTAAATTCAGTTTGCAATCACAAACCCTGGCTACCTTGTGCATCTGTTGAACCCCATGTAGATCCATTACCTCTATAAGACAGTAGTCCTACTGCAATAAAACATGGAAAGCTGGCATCCAAAATGAAATTTGGACAGATTATCATGAGATTATGCTCATCTCAACTTCAGATATAACATCTGCCCTCTATACTGAGGTCAACTCCATCCAGACTGTCGTTCTTTGGAATAGAGCTGACTGAGATTTAATGCTGGCATCACATGGAGGAACTTGCATATATATATATAAATGCCACTTGCTGCTCCTTAGTAAATAATGTCTTGTTGTTGTTGTTGTTGTTATGTGCCGTCGAATAGGCCCGACTCATACCGACCCCTCCTTGGGTTTCTGAGGCAGTAACACTACAGAAGTAGATTGCTCCATCTTCCTTCTGAGGAGTGGGTTTGAACCACCAGCCTTCTGGTTAGCAGTCAAGTGCCTTAGGCACTATGCAACCAGAGTTCCTAAATAATGTTTTAGAGCCAGATAAAATAAGATCAGCAGGTCCTTAGCTGATCTGTTAAATAGTTTCAACAAGATAGAGCTAGCTGCTGCTCAATAGCAGTTAGCGCTCTTTCAGGACTTGTAGTCAACTTCAGTTGGCCCAAGGAGCTCTGGTGGTGTAGTGTCTAAGACATTTTGGCTGTTAACCAAAAGGTTGGTGGTTCAAACTCACCAGCTCCTCGGAGGACTGATAAGCCAGTTTGTATCTATAAAGATTTACAGCCTTGGAGACCCAACAGGGGTCGGTATGAGTCAGAATGGACTTGATGGCAGTGAGTTTGGTTTGATTTGGTTTAGTTGGCTCACTTTGTGGCTCACCAACACTGGAGGATTAAAATCATTGTTATGATAATACCAATGTTAATCCTAAGAGTATGCGTGTGTTTTTGTACCCAGTGTTCACCTGCTTGTCTTTCAGCCCTTAAGTCCTCAAAGATGGAGGCAGTTCTCCAGGTCAACTCTACCCCCTTACCGTCAACCCACAGTACGGCCAGAAAGTTTTGTGAGTTACAACAAAGCTGTGAAGCAATTGATGCCATTTGATTAATGAAGCACCAGTAGCTTCAAAGGAGGAAGAATGATGCATATCATTTCCTAAAAGAATGCAAAGTGTATGTTAGGAGATGCCACATTGTGAGATAAGAGAAGTAAAATGTTGTTTTGAGAAATAGCATATAGTCAGGAAATTTATTGACTCTGAAGCAGCTTGGTCTGGGTAAAAGGGGGCATTAGCTTACTGAAAAAACACAAACTCCTGGGTGGAGATTTAACATTATAATGAAACATGAGGAATACCCATTGAGATGTTTCAACAAACAGATGCCCCACTGGAGGCACTCACTTGACTTGCCAAGAGATTAGGAAGACAGCTACCTGGACAACTGACTGGAAGAGATCCATATTTGTAACCATTCCAAAGAAAGGTGATCCCACAGAATGTGGAAATTATCGAACAATATCATTAATATCACATGCAAGTAAAATCTTACTCAAGATAATTCAAAAATGGTTGTAGCAATATATTGACAGAAAGCTTCCAGAAATGTAACTGGATTCAGAAAAGGACATGGAACGAGGGATATCATTGCTGATGTCAGATGGATCTTAGCTGAAAGCAAAGAATACCAGAAAGATGTTTACTTCTGTTTTTTTGACTATGCAAAAGCATTCGATTGTGTGGATCATAACAAATTATGGGTAACATTGAGAAGAATGGGAATTCCAGAATACTTGATTGTACTCATGAGGAACCTGTATATAGATCAGGAGGTTGTCGTTTTAACAGAACAAGGAGACACTTCATGGTTTAAAATCAAGAAGGGAATGCGTCAAGGTTGTACCCTTTCACCATACTAATTCAATTTGTATGCTGAGCTAATAATCTGAGAAGCTGGATTACATGAAGAAGAATATGGCATCAGGATTGGAGGAAGACTCATTAGCAACCTGTGATACGCAGTTGACACAACTTTGCTTGCTGAAAGTGAGGATAACTTGAAGCACTTACTGATGAAGATTAAAGAGTACAATCTATAGTGTGGATTACACCTCAATATAAAGAAAACAAAAATCCTCACAACTGGTCCAATAAACAGCTTCACAATAAATGGAGAAAAGATCGAAGTTGTCAAGGACTTCATATTACTTGGTTCTACAATTAACACCAATGGAATCAGCAGTCAAAACATCAGATGATGTACTGAATTGGACGAATCTGCTGCAAAAGGCCTCTTTCAAGGCCTCTTTGCTGAAGAGCAAAGATGTCTCCTTGAAGACTAAGGTGGGCCTTACCCAAACCATGGTATTTTCAGTTGCCTCTTATGCATGTGAGAGCTGGACAGTGAATAAGGAAGATTGACGAAGAGTTGATGCTTTTGAGTTGTGGTGTTGAAGAATGCTGAGAGCACAAGGTCTGCTAAAAGGGCTAACAAATCTGTCCTGGAAGAAGTGCAACCGGCAAGCTCCTTTGAAGGGGAATGGCCAGACTTTGTCTCACCTACTTAGGTCATGTTGTCAGAAGGAACCATTCCCTGGAGAAGGGTATCATGCTTGGTAAAGTGGAGGGTCAAGAAACAAGGGGAAGACCCTCAATGAGATGGATTGACACAGTGGCTGCAATGATGGGCTTATGTATAGCAAGGATGGTGAGGCTGGCACAGGACCGGCAGTGTTTTGTTGTGATGTGTGTAGGGTCCCTGTGAGTCAGAGATGACTCCATGACACCTGACAACACAATGAAACATGCTAAGGACTAACATCTTTGTATCCCTTACTGCACATGCTTAACCTGTAATCATATGAAATTTTATGTATAAGATGATTCTGATGTGGTCACCTAGAAGCTGTCAGAATTTGTGGGACTCCCCACTCTGTTCATGCACGAATTTGATTAAAGTGTGTTTTTTTGTTTTTCACCTTGGTGTATCTTTATTGGTTTAATTCTCTCTGGGCAGCGGACCCAGCGACTGGCTGGTATCAGTTGTACCACAAAGAATTGGTAGATGTTCAACCATTTCAGGAGGTAGCATATTACCAGGAATCTAAGGTGAAGAAACTCGCAGCTGCACTGAAGGCACTGGTGAAAAACAAGGCTCCAGAAATAGACGGAATACCAATTGTTTCCACAAAAGGATAAAACGCTTGATGCTCTCACATTCATACCTGTAAACTATATTTCATTTAAATGTTCCTCGACTGACAAACATTTATTTCCAGTATTTACATTAAGAATGCTGCGAGAGGCATGCTCGTCACAATTTTAAGTGCGGATTTTCATAGGCTAGCGTTCTAGAAGTGAAACCGGGTCAAAGGCGGAAGGATCTACTTTTCTTTCATATTGTATCTTTTTGTGTGCTAGATGATGGAGGAAGCAGGTCCGGGGAGGCAGAGCGGGCTAAGGATTCCACGCCCCTACGGGTTCGCTACTCCAGCCTAGAAATCCAGGATCTGACCGCCCACATGCCAGCCAGAATTCTACTGGGGAATCTTATCACCCCTGTATCCGACCTCACAGTCGCTGCCATTTCCGCTCAGATTCCCCTCCCGGAATTGGCACAATGTTGACGCCTAGCGTTTCCGCCACCGCTGTGGGGGCGGGGGACAGGGCCACCCCGCCGTCGCTGTCGCGCACTGATGACGCAGAGCGCCGTGTGCTCCCCCACGTGTGCGGCAGTTCACCGGGTGGCTGCTGAGCGGCGGCGGCCGCTTTCCCTGGGGGTATAACTTGTGGCAGCTTTGGCACCCGGAACCTCCGTGGCTTGGGAGCTCTGAACGCAAAGCGGCGAGTGCTGGGGGGACGTCTGGGGCGAAGACCCAGGAGCCATGGAGCATTTTTTGCTGGAGGTGGCGGCCACGCCGCTTCGGTTAATCGCTGCTAAGAACGAGAAGAGTCGTAGCGAGCTGAGCAGGTTCTTGGCCAAGGAGGTAAGAGAAGGAAGGACAGGGAAAGCGTCCAGAGACCCCGGTTGCGCCTGCACATCCTGCGGCCCTTGGCACTCGGGTTTAAGGGGGGAAGAAAATCGGCCTCTTGTCATTCTAGTCTCCTCCTCCCGGGACTGGCCGGTGGCGGAGACGTCCTCGAATGTTTGAGGAGGTTAGGAGCAGGCTTTTGTTTTGATCTAAGGGAATCTTCTTTTCTCCTCAACCTTATCCCATCCTTTGCGCTTACGCTTCCTATGGGAGACCCCACGGCCTTTGGAAAGAAATGTGTTTGATTTTCTGAAATTCAGGTTGGGTCTCTGCCCTTTTGATTCTGTATTATCTAAGCGTGGCTAGACAAGCCACCCCTGTTAGCTTGGATGTATGTGTTTATTTTTCTCCCCGTTCTTTCATTCGTCCTATGGACAAGTATTGATTATATTCCTGCTGTGTGTTAGGCACCTTGTGGCACTGTGGGGAGTTAGATAGAAATCAGTTGCAGTGTTTACCCTAGGGAATTTAGCGTGTATTTTTGGAGACGGTACGTAAACACGTAAAACCACTGAAAGACAAAGCAGGCATCACAGCTAATACTGTTTGATAATAACCATAATAATTATGAGGTGAACTGGAGCTTGTTTTGGAAATGGGTCTTTGACTTTACTTTTAAGAGCCTTCTTTATTCTTCTGTCGGAGTTGTAACATAAGGGCTTTTATCTCGCATCTTTTCACATTACATTTTAATTTTCTAGTTTATGGACCCCCTCACCCTTCATATCTGAGCTTCTTGAGAGTAGAAAATGCATTGTTTTGTTTTGCAACTCCAATATCTAGACCTAAATATTTCATTCATAAATGTATTACTTGAGGATTTTATAGCCTGTTGATTAAACAGCAACTGCAGTCTTTCAGGTGAGAGACCAAGGGACCTGAGTAATTCGGAAAGGCTGGGCTAATATGAGGCATTTTTGTTTGGTGACAAGAAGTTGAATGTGAGAGGCAAAAGGGAGGGAGTAGTCCAAGTTGTCGCCCTAGTTTCTGGTCTTCTGGGCCTCAGTGAAAGGAATAATGGGATCAATCAATAACCCAAATGGGGACGTTTGGAAAGAAAAAAATCATTGCTTTTCTCCCTTTCCTTTGTGTCACATTGTCTGCCGAATTCTGTCCAAACTGAGAAATGTCTTGTAGCTTTGTTTGTTTCCATTTTCGTTAACAATTTCAAGCCTTTCATTTTCAGAAGAGTTGATTCTTGTTTTCTTCTATTTTGGGAAATACTTGAAATTAGGTTTTTAGAAAGCAAGAAAGACTTTTGAAACACTGATTCTCATTGGTATTTGGGATCTGAAGTAATTTTTTAGGATTGTACTTCCTTTTATGTGGTCTATCTCAGTAACACCACTTTTTATCTAGTCACTTAGAAAATTCCTTCCACTCCTTTTTCTTTACAGTCCAGTACCCCTGATTTTTCTTCCTATATATTCTTGTGTCTGTCTTTTCCTTTTCATATTAAAAAACCCAAACTCACTGCTGTCGGGTTGGATCTGACTCATAGCAACCCCTCCTTGGATTTCTGAGGCATTATCACTACGGAAGTAGACTGCCCAACCTTCCTTCCGAGGAGTGGCTGGTGGGTTTGAACCTCCAGCCTTCTGGTAAGCAGTCAAGTGCCTTAGGCACTATGCTGCCAGAGCTTATGTAGAGCTAGATAATCAGAATTTACAATTACAATTACAATGTTAGTTAAACAGTTAGAGTCCAAATCTTTAGACTTTGGGCTTTTATCTTTCATAAGAGGTCTCAGGAGGAAGGCTTAACGATGGCTTGAACTGGGCAGAAGTCCCTTGTAGCTAGGGTCTGAGGCCAGCTCAGGTGGGTGGAGTCTCAGCAGGCTCTCATTGTTTGCCTCTGTCTTCTCTCTGTGAGCAGAAATTTAGGACTTCTAAGTGAATTTGTCACTTTGGCACCACATGATAAGGGCCAGTGTGACTTCAAAGACTAGTGTGTTATGTCTTTTCTCCAGGGTTAGAAGTCAGCTGAATGATGTGTCTTTTCTTCATGGTTAGAGATGAGGGAGATTTGTAGATATATGTCTCAAGGCTAGTTTACAAAGATTAACTGTTAGTTTCTTTTTATCATAGCATAGCAAAGTCAGTTTCACTTGAAGGTTGCTTACCACATTTTTCACATATTTTTGTCTTTCTATGTCTAAATTCTAAGTTCCTGAACAACTTACGACTTACAGGTTTTTAGTGACTTAAAGTTAATGGTAGAGAGTCTTACAAAGGTAGACACGTTTCTATTTTTAAGTTCATATTATGAGTGCTTATACATAGGTATTTTGAAAGCATAGTAGTGACTCACACCTTAGGGAATTTGAGATCATTATAGAAATTGGTAGCATAGTGCCTAAGGCACTTGAATGCTAACCAGAAGGCTGGCGGTTCAAACCCACCAGCCACTCCTCGGAAGGAAGGTTGGGCAATCCTACTTCCGTAGTGATACTGCCTCGGAAACCCAAGGAGGGGTCGCTATGAGTCGGGGCCGACTCGACGGCAAACAACAACAACAACAACAACAACAACGAAATTGGTGAAAGTAGTTTCTTTATGTGGCCTTTTTGCCTTGGTTTGGAAAAAGAGCTTGGGAAATTTCCCCTCTAAGCTCTGAGGAGTTACTTTTGCCCTAGTTCTTTGGAGAATCAACTTGGAGGGGGGCTCCCAGGTTGTTTTCTACCCCAGAGTGTTTGTTACTTTTTCAAGTTGGTTGACATTTCTTGGTGCATTGCAGTGGGTTTTGGTTTTATATGGCCTTTCTGACCATATATAAAATGATTGGTTGGCCCACAGTCTGCCCTATGGCTGGTCTGTTTTACACACTTTGCAGGGATTGGTCAATTAATTTTGGTTAATTTTCAAATTAAACCAAACCAAACTTACTGCCATTGAGTTGGTTGCAACTCATAGTGACCCCTATTGGGCTTCCAAGGCTATAAATCATTATGGAAGCAGACTGGCTTGTCTTTCTTCCGAGCAGTGGCTGGTGGATTTGAATCATGGACGTTTTGCTTAGCAGCCAAAATGCCTTTAACTACTATACCACCAGAGCACCTGTGCTATGCAGATAGTGGTGCATAAAACTTCCAATAGGATTAAGTGACTTTCGGGGGCTGGTCAGTTTGTAGTACTACTAGGAGGGCCCTGTCTTGAAATTGACAAGGAGTTTGCTTATATAAGGGCCAGTCCCACAGAAGTTCATGGGGAAGTTCACTATCATAGAAGAGTCTTGATGTGTGTGTCCTTTGGACTCAGGGTCTCAGAGAACCTCCTCAGTCCAAAAGAAAGAGCTGTAACAGTGAATATGGAGAGTTGGTAAGCCTGAGAGAGAGAGAGAGACTGAGAGATGGCTTGCCGAACTGGTGGCTGTGGTGGGCTTGCTGGCCCTTGGAGAGAGAGAACTGAGCCTTCGGGGATTTGATGGCAGAGCTAAAAGATGGCAAAACCCAAGAGAGGCCCGGTAGTACAAAGTGGGAAGGGGCCTAGCCGAAGGACAGCCGGGAAAGGGGCCCAGTAGCAGAGGCAGCAGTGAGAAACCTTGAAGAAGGATATGGCAGCAGAGCTGGGGTGACAGCAGAAAGCTGCTGCTTGGAGGGCAGCAGCCAAGTTAGCTGCTATACTAGCTATGACTTGGGCCATTTAGCACCGGGGAGGCTGAAAGCAGAGAAAGGCAATGCATGGTGGAGAGAAGGGCTTTGCCTATGGGCAAAGCTGAGAAAGGTTGTCTGCTAGGATGGCCGAGAAGGGGCTGAGAGTTCTCCTGATTGGCAGCTGTTGTGATTGACAAAGTTGATCCTTTCTCCTGAGCTGTATCCTGTTAACTTCTAAGTTGATCTGTAGCCAAAGTTGCAGCTAAGAGTGCTAAGCAAGTAGCTAACACTAGCTGTTAGCTGGGCCAATTGTCGGTGGTGAATTTCTTACTTCCCTAATAAACCATATAACTGTATGGTCTGTGAGTTCTGTGTGGCCATTGCAGTGAGTTACCAAACCCAGCAGAGACAGGGAGAGTGCCATAGGGGTATGGCTGGTGTCACATATGGTGGAGAAGTTGGAGAGTGGAGGTATATCTGACTTCCTGTCATAGGAATCAGTTCTATGCTGATCCTGATTCTTATCCCTTGTGAAGTTAGATTAATTCTGATGCTAGATTACAGAAACATACAGAACAAAGTAGAACTGTGCTCTATAGAGTTTTCAGTGGCTGATTTTTTGGAAGTAGATCAGACCTTTTTCCTGAGCTGCCCCTGGGTAGACTTGAATTGTCAACCTTTCAGTCAGCAGCTGAGTGCATTAACCATTTTCACCACCAAGGGACTCTGAGGATAATAATAGGATCTACTTTATTGGTTGCTGGTAGGAGTAAATGCCTGGCATATAGTAAGTGCTATCTGTAGAAGTGGTTGCTGTTATGATTGCATTATAATAGGGTGATTGTGAGGGCCAGGTAATGCATGTGAGGAGTTTATACAGTGCCTGGCACATGGTAAGTAATCAATCATAATTATTAACGAGACAAATCTGAATCTCTTACCATTCTGCATATAAAGCTCCTTATTGTCTCTAAAAGCAGCTCTGGTGGTGCAGTGCCTAAGGTGTGTTTGACTGCTCACCAGGAGGTTGGCAGTTCAAATCCACTAGCTACTCTGTGGAAGGAAGATGGGGTAGTCTACTTCACTGGGGATTTATCGCCTCAGAAATCCAGTGGGGCTTACTACGAGTTGGAATTGACTCGATTGCAGTGGCTTTGGTTTGGTTTTATTGTCTCTAAAATAAAAATCCCAGCTTTTAAAAATGATACATGAAAAATTTTTCGATGGCATCTCTGGCATATCCCTCAACCCCAGTAGTTCTCAACTGAGTGTAATTTTGGTATATCTGGCAATGCTTGGAGACATTTTTAGTTGCCACACTGGTGGGCGATTGCTACTGGCATCTGGTGAGTAGAGGCCAGGG